CAATGTAATGTTAATGGAGAATTATCTAGTAATAAAATTATCACCTGTGGAGTGCCCCAGGGATCTATACTGGGACCACTGCTATTCCTATTATATATTAATGATTTGCCCGATTGTTTGAAATCAACTAATCCATGCATGTACGCGGATGATACTCAAATCTTTTCATCTTCCTACGATGCAAATGAACTTGTTGTAAATTTAAATTCAGATCTTGCCCATATCTGTAACTGGCTTAAAGAAAATAGGCTGCAGATGCATCCATCAAAATGTAAAATGATGTTTATTGGCTCCCCGTATAATCTTAATGATATAATGTGTGAGGAACCCGTTGTGGCTAATGCAAAACCCATATCACGAATTGCTACACAAATGTGCCTAGGAGTAAAACTAGATGAAACCCTTAATTGGGATAGTCACATTGAAATGATATGCAAGAAGGCGAGCGCTGCTATTGGCGCTATGAAACGTATAAAGCCCTTTGTTCCAATGCATACCTTAAAATCGATTTATAAAAGTCTTGTGCAGCCCTACTTTGATTATTGTTCCCCCCTTTGGGACACTTGTGGTAAGTTGCTAAGAGACAAGTTTTCAGTCTCGTGCAGCAAGAGTCCTAACGGGTGCTAATTATGATACTCGCTCAGCTGATCTTCTCAACATGCTTTCTTGGGATACACTTGAAAATAGTCGGTCTGGTGCCAAGTCAGTATTAATGTATAAAATACTTAACGACCACACTGCGCCAGGTCTCCGGGGGTCATTCGTGAGAAGAGAAATAGATCAAACTAATTATCATCTTCGAAACACAGCAACTGATCTAACAATTCCTAAACCGAAACGAGAATTTCTTAAAAAAAAGTTTTAAATATAGCGGCGCTATGCTCTGGAATCAACTCCCAAACGAAGCAAAATTGGCCGAGTCGCCTCATTCGTTTAAATCAATTGTTGGACAGCGACATGCTTTCTAATTATTTGTATATAGTAACGTGTACAGTATGTGTATACTAATACTTAGTTTAAATTTTCCTTTTAATGATTTTTAAGATCTAAACACGCCCTCCATGGAAACCAGCCTAGAGTTGATGGGGCTAGCGTGTTCTTCTTTCTGTTAATTTTAAATAAAGTATTACCTACCTACCTACCTACCTACCTGACTTCGCGGTTTGTAGCAACACTGGAGAGGAAGTTCGGTCGAAGCCATGACCGTGGGTCGAGAGTTTGCGTTTACTCATGGCCACTTTCACAAATTAGGTATCGACGACTTGGTAACGTATTTACATTTAACTTAGCTGTTCTTGAGTGCCGAGAACAAACACCTCTCCAGGGCACCACTCCAGCAACGCTGGAGAGAGGGGTTCGAGGCACTCGAACCCGCCTCCAAAACGGTTCGAATTATGCCAGCATGTCAGCTATTGATGTTAGCATGGCCCGATTGTGCTCGTAAAATCCAAAAAAGTTGCTAGCTAAAACTAGAAAGTTGCTCGCTAAAAAGCATAAAAGTTGCTCAAAAGTTGCCCGAAATAGAAAAAAGTTGCTACTAAAATTCAAAAAGTTGCCCGTACGTATTACGTTAATCAAGAGATTTATACAATTTTTGCACGCTCGGATGAACTTCTTGTAATTAACAATAAACTTTTTAAGATTAACAAATAGCAATACAAATGGCATACAAATATCAACACGAATACCTAGAATAACAAATCTCCAATAAAACAACATCGCAAGTGTTGTCTTTATAGCTCTGCGTTTCTTACGCTAGTTATTTCAAGTTTGGGGTTCGACGAGAGAACACAGGCAACCCTAGTCCCCTAGCAAGCAAATACCAAGGGAAAGCAAGGAAGCAGCATGTATTCAAGGGTGTATTATTTACAGCATATGACATAGAATATTTAATTGAGCCTGTGCACATCATGATTACCCTGTACTGATACAGAATGTGCACAGAAATATATCGCAGAAAATGAAGTTGTAAACATTTCAATATTTCAAGCTGTAAAGTTTTAAATTTAGTAAAAAGCCTAAAAGTTGCTCAGAAATTGCTCAAAAACGAAAAAGTTACTTCAAGTTGCTCGAACTGAAAAAAGTTGCTCCAAACGCAAAAAGTTGCTCAAAAGTTGCCGAGCACAATCGGGCCATGCCTAATTGATGTTAGCACGGGCGATGGAGTCCGAATGTAAAGAAGGTACGCGTTGCTCGACCAACGACCCAATGTTTTAATTAAGTGATCCGGGATACCCGCAGACGCTGCTGTGGTCGCCGCGCCAATCCTGAAACTGTGACTGGAGTAGGTACGACGTATTCCCAAGTTGGATAAAATCGCACGAAGCCAACAGTTGACCACCACCGGTGTTAGCGGAGAGCCATCGGATAACACGAACAGTGGCCCGGGAGCGTTGCCTCGAACCTGAAGGTAACGGCGAACCGCAGATACGACGCAGATGGGTTTTCCCGACTCACCGATGGAGAGAAACACGCCTCGGTGAAACAACCCCGAACAGGTAAATACACCAACCCGAAGAAAATCAAAAAACGCGAGAGAATAAGCCGCCCAAAGCATGATATGATCATACGAGTCCGCGGAAAGAGCCGCCTAAATAGCGGCGAGGACAGACCGGGTGATGGGCAGACGAGTAGGACAGCGAGCTGAACGGGACCGTCTGATACCGCGAAGCACGCGATGAAGGCGATGAGTGTCTTTGAGCGGATCGGGAAAACCTCGATCGATATGTAGCGAGCAGACGGACGGCAGGTAGACGGAGATTGTCGCAGCAGAGAGACCACGAACCGAGTGCATCCACGTGACAAACAGCAGCAAGGACCATTCGTCTGCCGGAAGAGGAGACAGGTGTGCTAAGCCACAGAAACGGGCAAACAGGCGTTGACCAGCGGAGTAAGTACGACGGGTAGACGTGGACAGGCCTTGTGCATGGAGGTTGTAACATTGGGAAATCAAAGAGGAAGTAAACTGACGATGAGCTTGTGTGGAATCGGCGAGGGTTCGTGGTCCATGCTGGGGGCGAGGCGGTGGAACTCCTGAAAGCGAAAACGGGACAAGGCGTCAGCAGCAGAAATGGGCCGAAAACGTGAAATTATTTAAACAAGCTACCTGTGTGAGGCTGCGAAGCAGATGCATGAGAGGAGGTGAGCGCGCCGTCCCTGCCGTGAGAGCATCCACGACGCTACGGTTGTCGCATAGGAATTGGACCCGTAGTCTTAACCAACTTGCCCCCCCCCCCCCTCCAGAGATGCGCAGCTACAACGATAGGCAGAAGCTCCATAAACGCGATGGATTGTGGGGAGGACAGGAACGACCAGGAACCGAAACGCCATTGGGAACGCCACATAGCTCCAAAACCGATGGACCCTGCTGCATCCGACGCGACGAACAAGTCGGGAAGCTGGGATACGCCAAGCGACAAGAAGCTGATGCCATTCCAATCACGAAAGAAAGCGAGCCACCAGTGGACATCCAGATGAAACTCGACGTTAAGGCGAATTGGGTGCGAGCGATTGCGAAATTGAGCCAGAAGATCAATCAGACGGCGCAAAAACGTTCTCCCCAGACGGACAACTTTGCACGCGTGGTGGAGGTGGCCAATCAAGGACTCTAATTCCTGACGGTGACAAGTACGCTTGTTGGACCAAGACTGGAGGAGTGACATGCAACGGTTGAACTTTTCGGCTGGCAACCTAGCAATTTGAGTGACCGAGTCGAGCTCAATACCTAAGAACACCAAACAGGTTGCGGGGCCCTCGCATTTCTCATGGTTAAGAGGGAGATCCAAGTGATTGAAGACGGTAAACGCAGTGTCGACGTGGGCTTGGTGCACTGGAGACGACGGGGGACCCAAAGTTAGAAAATGATCGAGGTAGTGGAATAACGGGTGAACGTGGTAGTTGTTTGAAAGAATCCAATGAACAGCGGACGCAACCGAATCAAAAATGAATGGAGCAGACCTGAGGCCAAAAGGTAGCACCAAGTCCACATAGAAAGAGTCTTGCCAGTACATGCCTAACAGATGTCGGTCGGAGACGTTGACCGGAATGTTACGGTAGGCGGCCTCCACGTCGAACTTGGCCATTAGGGCCCGGGGACCAATGTCAACGAGGGATCTGATGGTGTTGTCAACGGAAATGTATCGCATAGAGAAGGGATCCTTAGGTATACGATGGTTAACGATTGCTCCATGGGGAGAGGAAAGGTCAAGGACTAGGCGCCACTTCCCCGGTTAATGATGTTTCGGAATAACCCCAAACGGACTGGTTTGGAGAGAGGCTAGTGGGGGGTACAGGTAAGGACCAGCCACCCGGCGGTGAGCGACTAACGCCGAGAGATATTTGTCGAACAGATGAGATGCCGACTTGAGATTGCGGAGCGACGGACGAAGGACCACACGCTCTGGAACGAAACCCACACGGAAACCGTCGCGAATTCCCGCCAATACATACTCCTTGCGGGGACTAGGATACTCCGGAGCTCGTGCACAAATGCTTCGAGATTGAGCAGGCAAATAGAGCCGATCGAGAACGAGGATAAGGGGAGTGGGTAGGTCCTAGAAAAAAAATCAACGATGAGCGAGACGAAGCCCGCCCAACCGAAAAACCACTCCAACACAAAGCGAGTTAGAATACAATTTTATTGGCTAATGATAGACTAAAGAGACTAGACTACAAATGTAGGAATGTATGTATTGGCTTAACCACACGACAATTCTGTCAGTCCAGAAAAACAATGATACCGACGAGTGAAGCTCACGAACAACACGGCCGACGCCACGCTGAATAAATATCATACTGCGGAGAATCGACAACGTAACAGAAAAATTGTTTGGGATTTCTTGGCCTCCAAAAGAATAGTATCCCAAAACAAATCACATAGATATAGTTTATTAATTTTTCTCAGTAGTTTTAATACACGCTCTGTCTTCGACCCAAAAATATAAAGTCTCTCAAAATATGTAAACAAACGCCACACCATCGTACGATGTGACGTATTTATCCATCACTTCCGGTTTCCTATTTCCGGACACACTCCGCCCATATATGTTCCTCTAAGGAGATATATGTTAACCTACAGTCCTTATGACGTTCGAACAAAACAAGAATTTTACTTAAATTTAGCAGTATAACGTCCTTATCCTAACTTTAAAGTTTTTGCAAGTCAATCATTGTCCTCTTCGTTAAGATTGTTTTGAATTCGTAACCTTGCTGCAGCAGCTGCATCTCTTCGAGATCTTGCATTGGCATGAACTCTGGAGCTGTAGAGTTAAGTTCTACAGGCAGCGAACGGTCACATGATAATTCTAAAGGGCTGAGGTTGTGGGTCGCTCGCTCGAGAATTCCGTTGCTTGTTTTGACTTTAGCTCCCCGTGTTATCCCGTCTCTCCCTTGGATGAGTTCCTCCACAACGCCAAGTTTCCAGTGATTATGATGACATCGCCAATCTTCGGATGCAAGGTCTGTTAGCCTCTGGCTCGTCTGTGCTGCTCTCGAAGTGCACGTACATACTCTTTGGACCATCGACTCCAAACCATCTCCTTGCAACGAGCCAGGTATTTTTCTCTCTTACGCAGATCAATATCAGGAATCTGAGACGACTCCAGGTTTGGTAGATCATTCGGGTTAAGGTTCAGCATAGAGTTCGGTGTAAGCAGCGGCAGTTGAATGTCGTCCTCCAAATAGCTCAAGGGCCTGTTGTTCAGTGCTATTTCCACATCGAGGACAAGTTCTTCCAGCTCTGACCAACGCAAGGTAGCGTTGCCAATGGTCTTATAGAAAGCGTTCTTGAACAGTCCGATGAGGCGCTCAAATTGACCGCCCCACCATGGCGCTCGACTTAGGTTAAACTGCCACGTAATCGAATGTTGAGCCAAGTAGTCGTTGAACTTCTCACTTCTTTGTGCTTCTTTGAGCCACTTCGCCGCTGCCTTGAAGGAGCCACCATTGTCTGAGTATATCAGTTTGGGTCTTCCGCGACGGGCAACAAATCTTTTAAGACTGATGATGAATATTTCCGTGTCTAGGGGTGGTAGTAGGTCTAGGAACACTCCTCGGGTCAAACTGCATCCGTATAGTACAAGATAACATTTCTTCTCTACTTTCTACTTGGTTCGGTACATCATCGGGCCCGCAAAATCGACTCCTATCACTTCGTAAGGTGTATTACCACTGGTTCTGGTTCTCGGTAAGTTGCCGGGCGGTGGTGACTGGAATGCCTTGGTGCGGAATCTCTTGCATCCCCAACACTTCCCTCGTACTTTCTTCACAAGGCGTCGAAGTCGTGGGACCCAGTAAAGTTCCCTAATCCTCGCCATGGTGAGTCCAACTCCCCCATGCAATGTCGCGAGATGTGCTTGATGAAGCAACTTGCTTGTGAAAGGATGATCATCTGGCAAGTAAATAGGATATTCACCTTCGAGGCGTCCTCTACATTCTAAGATTTGTTGCTGGTTAATCTGCGGGTTTAACTGGAGTTTGTCTTTCTCGAATTTAGCTGTGGTCTGTGCATCACGCCGAACTCGTTTGATCGACCAGGTTTTGTGGTTCTCTATTTCGGTTGTTGTAAGTGGACCCGATTCTCTGGTTGCCAACGTTGCCTTGAAGTTGTGAATGAATCGTTGTACCCACGCCCCGATTCGCAAGACCTTCCAAAGCTCATGTTTAGATAACAGCTCGTCGAAGGTGTCCTGCACGTTTACGGCCGCCGCGAAGATATCTTTAGTGATCTTGGCTTCAGCATTGCTACTGGCACTAGGTATGAGTGTTATGTTCGGTGGCCACTTATCTGTGTCTGCCAGCCACTGAGGTCCATACCTCCAAAGTGGGGCGTCCACCACGCTCCCTCCACGGCTTCCCAAGTCAGCAGGATTCTCTGCGGTAGGTACATGGTGCCACGTGATACTCGAGTGTTGACGGATCTTGTTCACTCGGTTGGCAACAAACTGCTTGTACTCGCCCGTACCAAGGATCCAGAACAACGCGACTGTACTGTCCAGCCAACAATGGAGGTCTGCTGTAATGATGGGTTGAATTGCTTGTTGAACATTGGTGATCAAGTTAGCGGCCATGTGGCCAGCTACCAGTTCTAATCTCGGGATTGTTAGTCCACGTTTGGCTAAACGTGACTTGGCTGTCACAATATTCTGTGCTACTCATCGTCTTGCTTCACCACGGCATAAACCACTGCGCTAACGCCTTTCCCACTTGCATCACCAAAAGCGTGTAATGTCAGTTCTTGAATCGGTTGTTGGTGGGGTGCAATTGATCTCAGTATGGTTACGGACGCTGGCAAGTTGTTGTACCATTTGTTCCACAATTTTTGCAATTGTTCAGGTAGGTCAGTGTCCCATGCAAGTTTCTCATCGCTAATGTCGCGGAAAATCAGCTTCCCCGATAATGTTGTTGGGGAAACTAAACTACCCTTGGTTTAGTCATACACTTTGGCTAGGGTAGACAAGACTCCTTGTTTAGTCGGCTCCGTCTCCACCTGAGGAAATTCAATTCTCAGGGTGTCATTCTCTTTGTCCCAGGGAAGGCCCAGTAACTTAGTTTCTGATGATGTAGTTCCCAGCTGCTGTTTGGCATATGATAGTTCATCATTTCCGTCTTTCGCGTCGTTGTCCAACTTTAACTCGCTTTCATTGCTGTGCCACTTGTTCAGGTTGAACTTAGCATCAAGGAAGATCTCCTTTGCCTTCGACGTCTTGATTTGGGCTTCTTGGTAAGGTAAAGGTAAGGTAAGTCTATACTTTACGTATTTCCTCTACGAACTCTGGGAGTCTGGGTACCGATCTTCCCATATGTTGATTGATGACCCCACCCAACAGGAATGGAGAGGACGTCAACCCAAATAGGACTGGAGTAAAACAATAAACCTCTATGTTTGATTGACAAGGAGGTTTCCAGTGGAATCTAAGAGCGTCGCGCTCTGCTTCCCGTATTCGGACCTGTAGAAATGCTTTCTGTAGATCCCCAGTAATCGCAACTGGGT